TATTTTTTATTGTTTACAAGTCTTGTTTATAATTTCTTTATCTATCTCATATTTAATGAAATCTACCGTGAGAACATCAAAGGAATTGTGCGCAAATGTTGTTTCTGTCGCCGTCGCTCGTCCCGGCAAATTCACAATCATAATAATATCGACGCAACTGGAGTAATTGATATGACAGCGGTTTGCAGTAAAGACACCAAAAATTCGGAAAAACTTTCAGAAAACACAGTACTGTGACAGCAGCATTAAACCGAGAGCACCCAAATGCTAATTTTGTCGTTGCGACATTAGAGATAACACGAGGTGCTATGCAGTTGCTGTAGAAGATTCTTGGAAATAGAAGTGTATCTTAGCTTATTGGGCTTGGGCTCGAGGTTCTTATTTAAGGACTTTATTAAAATGGCAAATTAATTCTGCCAAGAGTTTCTTAATCAATTAAGTTCTTATTTTCGGGTGATTACTGTAAGACGTCAAAAATTCTATAAAACTGTGAGAAAACACAGTACTTATTGAGAGCAAATTCTGTTTCTGTCGTTGCGAGGCTCGAGATGATACGAAGTTTCTTAGAAATAGACGTGTATCAGAAAAGTCTAGAAAAAATTTGGATCTGACGACATTCTTTTATAATTTGGTTTTCACATACATGACACCAATTTTCCAGTTCTCAAAATACCCTTTAGATCTTAGATTAATTGACAATGTCGAAATTTTTTTAGTCTTACGTACAATGATGTTTTGAATAATAACAGTCAAATAATAAGGGTAAACACCTACAGTGTTGATTGATGATCTAATTCTAATAACCAAGAGGGTCTCAATGGGGTTATTAACCACGAGCCGTGAAACGGCTGAAAAATTAGCCGTGCGTCGTGAAAATGCAAAAAAATAGCCGTGAGGCGTGAAAAAGCCAAATTTTTAGCCATGAGTCGTGATGCGGACCGCCCCCCTTTGAGACCCTCAACCAACCTTATATGTTTTTTAAGTTTATTTACCTTAGTTTTTATTAATGTTTTATGTTGGTTCTATTTGTCGCAAGCAGCGTTATATTGGATTTTAATATACTGTTTGTGAAGATGTCATGTCAAATAGAAGGATGATGAATTTGTTGTGACCATCACTGGAAAAAATCGCGCGCCTTAAAGGTTGTAAATTTGATGTAAATATGATGTAAGTGTCCAAAATTCTGTAAATTTGATGTAAATGATTTCCATTAAATTTACAGAATTTTGAACGCTTACATCGTATTTACATCAAATTTACAACCTTTAAAGCGCGCGATTTTTTCCAGTGCATCGTGTAACTGCACAAGCTTGTGCGTAATTTTCGAAGAAAAGTAGAAAAAGCTAACGTTGCTTTTGAAAACCGCACATCATGAAGCTAGGCGCAGCGTTGGATATAGGGGTGCTGGAGCAGGGGTTCGGGTTGGGGCTGTGTGATAACAGCAGTCAGGAACCACGTTATGCACAAGTCTGCCTTTTTGTCCGACTCAAGGTTGAAAGAGCTGTATATAGACGTCATGACTTATGTAAAATCCCGAGTAAAACAGCTTACTTTTATTAATATACAAAATTAAACTGAATCGAAAAACGCATTGTTAAGTACTGACCAAAATAGATATACTTCACCATGCAATATCAGTTGTTATTCATTGATTCAATACAAATATATTTTTTGAATTTCCCACGGAAAATTTTGCGAATTTGCGATTTTTTAAATACTTTTAAATAATTACTATTAGCTCGGTTTTATCAACCAACCAATCAATTGATAGAATATATTCACAGCCACCTTATTTTGCAAATATCTCGTTCAATATTTAGCATTCAATATCGACCGCCCTTAGCGTGTAAGTGAAGTAGTGAGTTCCTCGAACAAAATTTCAGACTGAATTACACCATTGTGAATTCTTTCTCAAGCCATCCCCAAACTTTTCGCGCCAGTTTTTCTGTCTCTGACGCATCTAATACAAATGCGTGCTGAATGTCGTCGTCACAGATCATGACGTCAGCTTCGGGAAATCGCTTCGTCATCTGTTCGTAACACGACCGAGGAACCCAAGGGTCACGTGCGCCGTAATAAAAAGTAAGTTTGTCGATATTTTGCGAGACGCTTTCGACGTCGATGTCTTTAATCGTGCCCAGGTCCCGGCCGATTTTTAACATGTTTTCCATTGAGCGATAATTCAAAAAAGCATGGGTTGCATTGACAATACTATCCTTTGAGCTGTGTTTGTTTAAGTGCATCCACCATCCAATGGACCACTTCTTAAAGAAAGACGGCATCAAGGAAAAAAAGAAAGTCAT